GGCAACAACAACTATAAATTTCTTCAACCTCGAGTCCTATCATTTCTAGTAGTTGATACAAAAAATTCTAAAGGCAAACATTATCTCTTTTCAAATTGAGCCCACTCTAACTTGACCATTAATTTTTCATTGTATACTCCATTCTCTTTGTCATGATTTATGTTTACAAAAACATATCAAGAAAAGGGTTAGCATAAGCAATATCACAAAAGAGCTCATATCTTAATGGGTCATCCTAGCAGATGGGATCTACTTTTTCTATAAATTTTAGGCAAAACTGTCTAGTTCTAAAGGCTTTTCAAGTTTTAGAATTGTCTATATTACTAATACAATAATCTAGCTTCTAACCTTATGCTCCAAAAGATATAGGGTAAGTATTTGATAATTTTGCATGCATAGGGTAAGTTTCAATCTAAGTAAAAATTCAAATGAGCATCGGTGGACTTTCATCTCACTCACCATCCGGATCTCCCTATCTAAATCCTAATACGGCTTTAGCTTGGGTCTAGAACTTTGTAGGTTTCTTCTCGTGATATGTGTGGAAACATTAAACAAGTATCCAACCCAATTCATAATATATAGTAAATAAATCCATAAATTTAAGTGCATAAAAATAAAACTACATAAAATAAATGAGTTGAATTTAAATTCATGATAAATAAATACTTGAAAAATTAAGGTCTTGAAGATAAATGACAAATATAATTGAAGGGGATAAGCTTAAAAACGGACTAACCTTATAGTCTAACTCTAAATTCCCAATAGAGTCATAATGCTATGACTACTCAACATATGAAAATTCTAAAATTGACTACGGAGAAAGAATTAAGAGGTTTGGAGTTGCAAACTAATATTTAAGAGAGCTAAAAAAAACCAAAGAAAGACACTAGATTCGGAGACTTGGGTAAGGAGCTAGTTATGCTTCGAAAAGATAATAATCACCAAAGGCACTTTTTTATAAGATAGGTACCGATGTTAGTCTAATCTTAAATATCATCTCCTATAAGTAATGTTTACTAAATTATTTCCTAAGTCTATTTTCAATCTTATTTGTCTAAGTCCAAAGAAAGATTTTTATTTTTTATCATACAATCGTATTAAAGTGACATCAAAACCAAAAAACGAGTCTTATTAATTTAGCATTAGATCCATTTGAGTCCCGACATGATTGGCATGTTAGGAATAATTTTTCTCTCTTTTTTTTTGTCATTAGGTAAAACATATCGAAACCACCATTGATTTTTAATAAATAGGAGACTCATTAACTCGACCTAACTCTCTTAATTAACTTAAAAAATATTCATTTTTTTTATCATTGGGTAAAACATGTCAAGATCACCATCGGTCCTTAATAAATAAAAGACTCATTGGCTCTACCTAACTCTCTAAATTGATTTTAAGCACGACATTTTTTATTAATTGTAACCAAATCCTTACATAAAATCATCATCGATTCCTAGAATTTAGGAGGCTTGATTTCTTATCATACACAATAAGCGCATCAATAATAAAAAAAATTATAGAAAATGCCAGCACACATTTTAAAATTTTAAATATAACTCAAAGATAGGTAGAAGATGCTTACACAAAAAAAGAAGAATGAAAAAACATCCATGGACATAACAAAGTGGCTAAATATCACAACAACCAATTTCAGTTTGAGTCCTAGCTAACAAAATAATTTACATAGACAACCATTCTATATCTTAAAAATAAAAAATTTCATATAGGTATTAAGGACAAATAGATGATATTCATATAAAAAAAATATAAGATAAAAACATCTAGAGCTACCTCCAACATGCAAAACATGACAACAATTATTTCGATTTGAAAAATCACTACTACCTTAACCAATAAGATACTTTAAATGAAAAACCATATTATGTCTAAAATATTTGAAATTTTATACATGAATGATGTTCATACCAAAAAAAAAAATTAAAAGCAAAAGGTATTTAGGGTTGTCTCAAACATGTAACATAAAATAGTAGTCATTTTCAACTTTAAGAATCGATCATTGTAGAAGCCAACATGAAAAATTAAATAGAAAATCATTTTGTATCATAAAGATCTGAAATTTCACACATAGATTGCAGAGAAATAGATGATGTTTATATAAAAAAAAATAATCAGAAAGTGAAAACATTTAAAACTATATCAAATATGAAAAATATGAGAGTAGCTATTTTTGGCTAAAAAAATTAATACTATGGTAGCCACCAAGATGATTTAACTAAAAACCCATCCTAAATCCTACGGATGTGAAATTTTACACATAGGTTAGAGACAAGTAGATGTTATTCATTTAGAAAATCCAACAAGCGAGAAAGCACCCAAAGGTGTGTCAAACACAAAAGCCAATATCCATCTTCATTAGGGTTTAAGTTGATTTTATCTAAACGAATCAATGGACATCCAAATGCATTTTACCTATTAAAATCAACAAGGAAGGAAGTAAAAAGAGTAAAGAATTACCTATTGAAGTTCAAAAATATTTAAAAGCTCGAGTTGACAAGCTTACATGATGCTTAGATGGTGTTTTCTCTGTTTCTTTGTTACTTCTTCTTCTCTTTTTCCTCTCTAACCTCTTTCTTTTTGGTTATATATTTTTTCCTTTTTCTCTCTTATTCTCACCCTTTCTTTCTCAACAACCAATAAGCTTTAATGGAACGGATAAAAATAAAACCTCTTTTTTTTTTTTCTCTTAATTTATATAGCTTAACCTATCTTTATTCTCTATCCTTAGATCTTCTTCTCTTCATCGTATCCCCTCCATTTTGATGATTATAGGACACTCAACTTTTGCTCCTTCCTTTCTTTTCCTTTGCTCTCTTTTTTGTGTGGTGTTCTTGCAAGGCTAAAAGTGGAGGGAATCAAGGGAAAATAAGAACAAAGTTTGTCTTGAGTATTTTTGTTTTGGTGATAGGGGATAAGATTTATGCATGAGGAGTGGATGTGGATGAGGATGCCAACAAGGTGAGGGGAAGGAGACGAGGTGGTTTTGGATGCAAAGTAAAAGCCAATGAAAAGGTAGAATGAAATAAGGAAGGAAAAAAAAAAGAAAAAAAAACCAAAACAAAGCAAGGATAGGAAAAGGCCAAAAGAGGGGGAAAAAAATTAATTTTCGCTATCTTTCTTTAATTACACACCCTAATTGAGTAATTTCACCTTTTATTTTTTTCTTTTCTTCTTTTTTTTTCTCTCACATTTTTTTTTATTTTTTTATTTTTTTTAAATGATCAAATTAAGCTAAAATTTAAAACTAATAAAAATTATCCTTAATAAAAATAAATTCATGAAAAACCTACACTATGTAATAAAATAAAATAAAAATTGCAAAAATATCTAAAATAACTATTGGTGCGTTAAAAATGAGTTATGACAAATAGGAAGAATTTTTTATTTTTTATTATTATTTTTTTATTTTTTTCCTTTCCTAGAAAATGTAGGACAAAAGTCAGGATGATAGCTTAAGGAAAACCGTCAAGATAATATTTAATAAATAAACTAAAACTAACTATAGCTTCATCATAGACAAGATCTTTTTTCCTTTTTAGTTTTTTAGTTTTTTGTTTTTATGAATTGTTTTTCGTTTTGGTCTCTCTTGTGTGATCTTACTTTTATTTTAGTCATTAGATTTTTGTCATGTGTAATTTTTATCATAGTATGCTGCAAAACTTACTTTATTTTTTCATTTTGCTCCTTATGTTATGCTTTTATTTTGGTCCTTTAAAGTTTAAAATTATTCTTATTGTGCTCATTTTTATGGTCTATATTAATTTTTCTTAAAATATTTTATTGAGTTATTGAAAATAGACTCTTTGATTTGATTTTAATACATTATTGGAGTAAAACATGTCTATCTATTTGAATTTTTTTTTATCTTGCGAATAAATAATTTAATTTTTAAAGAAATTAGTTATATTTAAGAGTAAAAATATTTTATAAAATTTGATATCAAATATTCAACTAAATGTAGCTTCGTAGTAGCAAAGGTTTTTTTTTTTTTTTCTATGATCTCTATTTTGGTCATTGGAGTTTTTTTCACATGTGATTTTTGTCCAATGCATGCTGCAAAGTTTTTTTTTACTTTTTTATTTTGGTCCTTCAAACTTTAAAATTATTCTTATTGTTCTCATTTTTATTGTTGTATGTTAATTGTCCTTAAATATTTTATTGAATTATTGAAAATAGACTCTTTGATTTAATTTTAATACAATATTGGAGTAAATTAGCATGTCTATTTATTTAAATAATTTTTTATCTAGCAAATTTGTGTAATAAATAGAATTTCCTTCTATTATTGTAGAAATTAGCAAAAAAAACTCCTTTGATCTAAAAAAAATTAGAATTTAGGTAATAATTTACTCTAATAAAAGGCATTTACTTCTTTTATTGCAGTCATCGAATTGTATTCTCCTTTTTCGTTATTGTATGATAAAAGGTGAATATGAGATTTTTATTTTTTCATTCTTATAACGCAGATTTATCTAAAAGTCTTGAAATAATTCTTTTTTATATGTTTTAAACTATTTTATTATTACTTCTCTTCAAGTTATATGGTTAAACATACGAGAAGACTATGTTGTTTACTCTACGACATTGCGGAAAAAGCATACTAGAAATAACTAATCTATAACTGATTTGCTGAATTGGTACAAACATAGCCCTAAACAAAAGGTTTAACAATCCCAATCTGAATAAATTATGGTTATTAATAGAACCTTACGTTAGAAACTAATGAATGTAGTACAAATTAAGGACGCATCATACTTCCAAGTCCTTAGAAGACAAGGATTCCTTATTATCCGCCTTTACAAACATCTCTATTAGGAGTACTTATTTGTTTTGGATCAGAAATAATCCTAGTCCGAGAGGGATCAAAATGCCCTAAATCCTATATATACCCTAACCCCTTGACGTTTCTTCTACATTCTTAATCATTCATACTTTGCAATCTCTCCATTAAGTTGTTTTTGAACTACGTGCCCTACATAATGGCATCATCAGAGAGTACCACCACTAGTACTACTACTAAGGTCTTGAGGTTGAAAAGCAGTGACAATGAAATTTTTGGGGTGGAAGAGAAGGCTGCCTTACAATCTGAAACTATCAAGAGCTTGGCTGAAGATGGCTATAGCGAAGATGTGATTCCACTCTTCAATGTAGAAAAGAAAACCCTAGCCAAGATTGTAGAGTGGTTAAACAAGCATGCGAGTGGTTCATCTAAGGAGGAACTTAAAAGGTGGGATGCTGATTTTGTTGATGTTGACAAAGATGTTCTCTATGATCTTCTCCTGGCTTCAAACTATCTCAACATTGAAGTTTTGCTTCATCAACTCGCACAAAAAGTTGCAGACATGATCAAAGGGAAGAAACCTGAGGAAATTCGCCAACTCTTTGGTATCAAGAATGATTTTACCCCAGAGGAAGAGGCAGAAATTCGCAGGGAGAATGCATGGGCATTCGAGTGATATGATTTCCTTCAACAAAACTGCTTTAGAATATTGGAGACTCAAGATTTCTTTCCCTTTTTATTCTTGTTTTAGGGTTTGATCAGTAAGTATGCAACGGATCAGTGACGATTTTAATTTTAATTGTTCCTTTTTTTCTAGTTGTCCAAATCTTGTTATTATACACTCATGATCAAGTCTAAAGAGCGTCCGAATTCAAAGTTCTTGTCACAGATTTCAGACTATCATGGATGTAAAAACAAAGCTGGTGTTATTGCTTTCACAAATCATTGAGAACTTTTTAACAAATTCTTAACAGTTGCATGAATTTTCTAGTATGCTCCTACACTTAATTATAAATGCCCCAATCTTCTGCCAACCACACCCTCTTGCGCAACCTATATATTGGTCAAGACAATAAAGCAGATTAGCCTAATTAATGGGACTAAATATTTTTCATCTTTAAGATCATGCATTAGTTGCACTATTACATTTCTTAGCTTCTAAAATAACAGAAGCTCAAACCTGATAGTACGCCCTGGATTCCATCCATGAAGTTGGATATGGCAAGTAATACCATTATTGATGCCAAATAATTCACTGGCTCCTTCTCGTTGGTGTAAAAAAGGCCCCATTTGTTCCGCAGTGCAACCGCAATTGACCTAATTCATTTGAAACTATGGCGCTATAGTCGAGAGAGAGAGAGAGAGAGAAGCAACTTGTCAATTAAATTAAGATACTGCTAATAGTGAGAGATGTGATATATGTCGGTAAAAGTGTGATTACCTTACTACACTGCCAAAACCGAAGTGGATTCTGAAGACCACTGCACTTGTGTTGAGGCTGCAGAGAATTGTTGACGTTAGGCATACTGGATATTCAAACACTACAGTTTTGGTTTTAGGAAAAAGCAAAGCTCAAATATTGATCAGAATTCCATTCCAATGATTACAAATTAAGTGTAAGGAAAAGTAAAATTAGTGCAAATTAAGAATGCTCGAGAAAACGAACCTGATTGACATCATTGATGTCTCTAGCTTTGGATTTGGAAGAAAGCCTGACATGATGACCAAAAACTCATATGACCAGAATTCTAAGCTGGTCAAAATAATTAATTCATATACATTTGATAGAATCCTGTGTTTTTAAGATAAAAGAAGCTACAGAAACAAGAAAATGAAAGACTTGGATATTCAGGAAGAAGCAACTCACCAGACCATAATAGCTCAAGGTACACCTAACTAAAGAAAAAATGAGGAGATTTTTCATGCCATCCTTGGAGAAACCTTCCAAGTACTTTCACGAGCAGGAGAGAACTTGATATAAATTGCCAAAATAAACACGTAAGTCCAATAGGAGATTGCATTAGATAGGGCTGCACCTTTACTCCCTAATCCGAATCTCAAATCAGGCTCCAACACACAAGGACATGAACTGAAGTACTAATTCCAGTACTTATCATCAAAGCCAGTGTGTTGTTCTGAGTGTAGCATGGAAATTTGGGGATCTTGTTTGAGGCTTGTAAAAATCTGCCCTGCTCAATCTAAGTCCAAAGGATTGATATAGGAATGCAGTTAAGAATAAAAACTAGCATAGCTCTCTGCATGTATGCACCAAGCATATGATACTGCTTTGCTCCATAAGCTTGTCCACAAAATCTTTCGAATGCACCTCCCATTCCCAGCTAGTCAGGATAAATAAGACGATTAGAAATCAATGCTTAGGAGTCTAAAATATGCACACATATGTGTCTGAACTATGCACACAAATCTAATTCTTCAATTTCTGAAGTAGTTATCAGTGATTACATTAAAACATTGAATAACTAGAAGAACAGAAAAGAATCCAGCTGGTTGATTTTAATTGTTGGCTAAATCGATTAAATCATGTTCTTTTTCGATATAGATTAAGTATTTTAAAATAAAGAAAATTGACCCTCCTAAGTGATCCAAATATGGAACGAAAACGGCACACGGGAATGGGGAAACTTTATACGGGAGCAAGGAAAGGCATACCATAGAACTAAAACCAGTAACTCCAGCAAATGAAGTTGCTAAAGAAGCACCTGCTAAACGGAGCTGTCCAAGGTGACCAACAAACACTACAAAAAAACAAAGGATTTACAAGGAGAAATTAGCAACGGTCTCAAAACCGTCATTAATTTACTAAAATTGTAATGGTTTGAAATAATTTAGCGAGAGAAATTAGCGACGGTTTTTTACGATGGTTTTTTCCAAAAAAAACAATCACAAATTCAATTTTTTTTTAAAAAAAAATTTCTGCAGCCATTTTTACGACGGTTATTTTTTTTTAAAAAGAAAAAAACCATTGTTAAATTCAATTTTTTTTTCTACAACCATTTTTTGCGATGGTTATTTTTCAAAAAAAATGTCGCTAATTTCAATTTTTTTAAAAAAAATTTATGTAACCATTTTTTGCTACGGTTTTTGTAAAAAACAGTTGCAAATCATGAAAATTAGTGACGATTTTTTGCCAAAAAAAAAACTATCTCTAACTTCAATTTTTTTAAAAAAATTTATTTCTTTCAGCTTTTTTTTGCAACCTTTTTTTACAAAAAAAAGTCACGAAATTAGTAAATTAGCGACGGTTTAAAAATCGTCGCTAATTAAGAGGAAAATGGCTATTTTTCAACTTTTTCGGACAAAACCATCGCTAAAACTTTCAACTCTTATATAACAATTTGCTCGAAAATTTGCAGGAAAAAATTTCTTCTCTCTCTTCTTTTTCTTCTTCCGCAACGTCGATCTCCTTTCCATTTCCATCAAATCTTCCCCCTCTCCTTTTTATTTTCCTTCCAATCTCCTCCTCTCTCTCCTCCTTCCCTTTCTCCCCTCCTCTTCCCCTTTCATCCTCCTTTTCCTCTTTCTTTCTTCCTTTCTCCCCCTTCCTCAACCGGTCATTTTTCGGCCAAAATAGTCGGAAAATTTGAAGGAAAAATTTCTTCTCTCTCTTAATTTTCTTCTTCTCCAGCGTCTATCTCCTTTCCATTTCCATCAAATCTTCCCCCTCTCCTTTTTATTTTCCTTCCAATCTCCTCCTCTCTCTCCTCCTTCCCTTCTCCCCTCCTCTTCCCCTTTCTTCCTCCTTTTCCTTTTTCTTTCTTCCTTTCTCCCCCTTCCTTAATCGACAATTTTTCGGTCGGAATAGTCCATCGAAGCCCCTCCATCGATGCAACTCACTCTCCACTTTATGTTGATGAAAGGTCCTCTCTCATCTAACCCCTTAATTAATTTTTTTATTTTTTTTAATTATTTACTTAATTTAATTTTAATTTTTTTATTTTTTATTTAGTTAATTTATTGTTAATTGTTAATTTAGTTAGTTTAATTGTTAAGAAAATTTAATTGTTATTAATTTTTGTTAATTATGAGAGTTTAATTGTTTAATTGTTAATTTTATTGTTAAGGAAATTTAATTGTTATTAATTTTTGTTATTAATTTAATTTTTATTGTTATTAGTTTAATTGTTATTATTAATCGGTAATTGTTAATTGTTAATTTATTTAGTTTATTGTTAAATGTTATTTATTAATTTAGTTAGTTTAATTGATGGTATTTTGGAAAGTTAATTATTTTAGAAAATTGTTAATAAGTTATTAGAAATATTTAAAAATTTTAGTAATTAAAAAAATAAGTAGTCATTAAGAAATTAATAATTTTTGAAATCATATTTAGTAATTAAAAAATCAATTAATAATTAAGTTTATTTAGTTGTTGATTAAGTAAAGGAGTTAAGCAATTAAAAAATTAATTAATTTTAAAATTAAAAAATTAATTAGTAATTAAGTTTATTTAGTCGTTGATTAAGTAAAGGAGTTAATTAATTACGAAATTAAGTAGTGATTAAAAAATTAATTTTTTTTGTAAATTATATTTAGTAATTAAAAAATTAATTAGTAATTAAGTTTATTCAAGAATTTAATAATTGAATCACATTTATTACAATTTAATAAATTTTATAATAAAAATTATGAAATTTTAGAATATTATATTTTGGGTATTTTATAGACTTTTAAATAACAATTGGTTAATTTAAAATGAGGGTGAATAATAATAATAATATTTTAGACCGTCGCTAATTTTTTGCGACAGAATTAGCAATTGGTTAATTTAAATTGAGGGTAAATAATAATAATAATAATATTTTAGTGACATTTAATTTTTTTTGCGATAGAATTAGCAATTGGTTAATTTAAAATGAAAGTAAAAAAAATAATAATAATATTTTAGCGACGGTCTAGACCGTCGTTAATTTTGTTTGTGACGGAATTAGACCATTGCTAATTTTTTTGCGACGGAATTAGCGACGGTCTAGACCGTCACTAATTCCGAATATTAGCGATAGTACAAAATTGCGACGATTTTTTCTAATTTTGCGACAGTTTTTTCCATCACTAAATTAGTGATAGTCCAAAAACTATCGTAAAATTTTAGAGACTAGCATTTTACGAACGGATTTTGGACCGTCGCTAATTAAAATTAGCGATGAATTTTGCCAAATTAGCGACGGTGTAGATCGTCACTAATTCTATATATATATATATATATATATATATATAAGTAGTGAAACATGACTGATTTCATCTGCAAATTGAATTTTAAGAAATTAACAACAACAAATGGCCCTGCCAAGTGCAATTAATTGCTTCTTCATCTCTGTGAATATAACTTCTCTGTAGCAACTTTTCTTGTTTAAGCATGAATAACATCCAAGACCCTTTTCAGACACTGGAATTGGAGGCGATTCAACAACAGATTTAGACTCTTGTTGATCCATGTCCAACTTCTAGTACCTTGGATTCAGAAAGTTTGCTTCAGACTTAACAGTCTATGTCACAAGATGTGCTTCCCAACTTCAAGCATATACCATATAGTAAGGGTTTTTTAACATGTGCTCTAAAGATACACGTTAATTGATATAATTAGAATGTTTCACTTTGATAATTTGGTGGATACACTTTCATAGTTGAATAAAATCATAATTTATAATTCAATATTGC